AAACGGATAATTGAACCCACTGTTTAATTTCTGGCCATAAAAGTGTTTTATTAAACAAAAAAAAAAAAAATCAATTTGTTTATTAAATTATGAAAATGTTTATTATTTTGCAAAAAACAATTTTCTACCTCTACCCTTAAGCAATATCAATATAGAATTATTTAATTACCGGTTAACTAAATTAACTTCACTCGGTCAAAAAGTCTTAAAATTAATTATTTTTGTTAATTAATTTTTGGGAACCATTTTTTCTTTTCCTCCTCTTAATTTTTCAACGCACGCTTTACAAAAGGTTTTGGATTGTTTTGGTTTGTTTTAATAAAGATGACAAAGTAAAAAACACTTGTAGCTTGTACTACTATATAGTACCGGAACATTTTTATAATAATAATAATAATAATAATAATAATAATAAGGAAATAGTAATGAGCAATTGTTACACGGAATTTATGAACATTGGTCCGTGTCCGCCAATATTGTTGTTATTATTGTCATTATTATTATTATTATTATTAGCTAGGCGGACATGCCCCGTGTGCAACACCAACAAAGTTTTTAATATTAAGGAGCTAAAATTTATTATTTTTTTGTGACCAGGCCAGGTGCATATTAATTCCAGTATCAAATAAATCAATATCTATCAATCAATATCAATATATTCTTCAATTGGTAACCTTATTTTGGCCATTATCTTCATTAACTTCAACATTAACAATTTTTTATTTCTTCAGTATCTTTATCTTCTAATGATCTTTCTGTTTCGCTAGTCAACCTTGGAATATACTTTTTCATCTGAAAATTGAAAAATCCACATTCACAGCCTGCATAATAAGGCGTAATTTTAATCACCATAAGGTGGTTTTTTTCCACAATATAACTTTGTTTAGCTCACAAGCTTTGTTTTCCATGTTCCATATCTGTCCATAATTCAATAGTAAGTAACATCAAGTCACATATTTTAATATTTATCTAAAAATATATTAATAATTAAACCATTTTTTTATTTGAATTAATAAGAACATGAAAAAAGATGATTTACTACCTTTGTATTTAGGATGCAATAAATATCTTAATATAAAAGATTGTATCCCATTGCTCATTAAAGGTACCAAATGCAATGATCCATCTCCATTTGGATAACTAGATAAGATAAAAAATATATACCATAGTTTTACCTCCAAGAGAATCGTTTAAATGAACCTATACAATCCTTCCAACAAGATTATATCTTTCTTCTGGTAAATTTGTTGATAAGAGATTTCTAGTGCTAAGAGTGATTGCATCCGTTTTACCTTTAACCTATGACCTTTTTGCTGGAGTATTTGCATTCTTAAATTTATAAAGGATTAATTGATTAATTAATTAAATTGCACCACCCAATTAAAATGAAACTTTTAAAGAATCAATCTGGAAAGAAAGAAAAAAGTGCAATAGATTCTTAAATAACATTTTCAAAAATGAAATTACAGCACCAATAATTTATTGATTAGAACATTTGAACCTGGAGATAATATAATTTTTTTTTTTGCAAAATATCACTTAAAAATCATGTTACCTGTTGAGAGTTTTGATGCACTTGGAATACTTGAAATAAAATTTTGTCCTATAAATGTGTCATAGATAATAAATGCCAGAAATGAAAGAAAAATTAATAATAATAATATATTTTTAATAAAGAAATATCAAAGACAAAAGTTTTTGACAAATCATATGATTGTTAAAATCAAAATACTTGTTTTTAATAAAATCAAAAAATGCTTTCAAATAACTTGATAACTTGGTCAGCTCTGATCAACCAATAAAAATTAATTTGATCGTGTAACGAAAATATGTTCGTAGATAAATCGCGTTGTAATTGAAAATTTCTTTGGTGTATGCAAGCTAATCATTTATGACTTTACTTGTAGGGTCCAAATACATAATAGAAAGTAATGAAGGCTGATTAAAAAAATATTTTTCGATGTTGGATTGTGTCAACAAGATTTTGACTCGGTTTCTGATAATGAACAAAATGAAATGGTTGGACTCGGCTGGTAACACCTTTAATATTGCTCCAAAAGAAACAAAAGCAGACAGAAGTAAGAAAACATGAAAGAAAAACACAAATTAGCCAATGTTATGACCAATATATAAGTATTCCAGCTAAAAAAAAGTTGGCATTTGCCAGATTCTTTAATGGAAAAAGGATGAATAAAATAATTCAAGGACAAAATGTGCAAATGAGTAATTAAAAGGTGGGATAATATATAACAAAAACAAAAGCACAAGTCAGTTGAAGTTGTAAACAATATACCAAATAAATAAACGAGTGAAACAGTTTATTTTGTAACTTTTCCACCCATACTCTTCAAAAATCTCTATTTTCCTCCAACTTCTCTTTTTCTTTGATTAATCTGCTTCTCCGATTTTTCCACGTCACCTTTAACCCTTCATCATCCCTCATTCATTTCTCTCTAACTTTTCCTCTAACTCGTTCAACTTCATCCCTTCATTTCTCCCTCCTTACTCCCCCTTACATCTTCTAATTCTTCTTGGATCGTTACAATTTCAGTATAAAATTATTTTATTGATTTAGATTACCAATGAATGATAAATTCTGGCACATTATTTGGGATTTATTTTTATAGAGAAAAAGGATTAAACGACAAAAAATATTTTTTTATAGGAAATTACATAATTATTTATGAAAATAAAAGTCAAAAATTGTCAGAGCACTTGCATGGGAGGAACATTATAAAGACATCACCAGTTCACTTATTTTCAGGTAAAAAATCAAAATAACGAATCCTTCAATAATTATTGTTAAACACAATTTTATTTTGGTTTAAAAAAATGCATAACTTTCAAGAGCGAACAGTTTTCGGGTTCACTATAAAGATTATAAAAATCCAATCATATATTATAAATTACAAATAACCAATAAAATAGAATCAAGAAAAAGCCAATTCAAAAACAAAACAAACAAATCTACTCGTGATAAAAAATATTCACAAAAAGACCGAACTGTCCAAGTTTTTCATTCAATGAAATGGCCATTGAAATTCGTGATTTCTTACTCGCAGAGGGAAAAAGAGTTGCTAATTCTACAATAATAAACTTCTATCAACGAATCCAACAGTGAGTCGACAAGTAAGAGAAGATAAAGAAGATAACAAAATCAACGAAAATATAAATAGTAATAATAATAACTGTCAATAGTAACAATAATAAGTGCTTATTTATCTTGTCATTGGAGAAAACAAAGATTCATAAAACATATCTTTGAATGCAGAGTTCGTCCAAACAAACGTTCTTTTTATTGATAAACAATGCAATATGATGATCATTTAATTACATTTACATTAGTGTTGTTGATCGCCAAAACTATTTTGAAGAGGCGAAAGTCAAAATTAAAATGGCACAATATATATATTTCCTAGTATCATTTAGCTAAATAGTTTGTTAATTTGATTTATTAGTCTCCAAAAAAGTTTTCGTATTGGAATTCTTTTACATTATTATTAAAAACAAATCGTTACTAAATATGGGTTACTAATAAACCCAAATGTGGATTATCATTTTAATAGGACCGGGAAAACTCTATTGAATGCCACCTCCAACACTGATTCGATAGTACTTTAAAATTTAAATATGTCGCTTCCCACCTTATATTCTCATGAAGAAAGGGGCACCGGTCACACAACAATTCTCAAAGAAAAATGTCACCGGTCGCACTCATTCGTGCAGATGGCCATTACTACGAAAAACACTTATAATTCGCGATATTATTATTTGTACACTTGTGATAATATAAATGGAAAATAAAAAACCTCTACCTTCATTTGTTAATTTTCGTGAATTTAAAACGTTATTTGCAAATGTGGTGAAATTATTTCACTTGGAAGCAATCATCAAGTTGCAAATTTTTTAAAAAGACATTCAAAGAGTAAAAATTGTAATTTTTTTGTGGACAATCAGACTTGCATGTTTGTTAAAAAGAAACTCATGAAATATATTGATAATGATCTGGGAAAATTCGAAAATGAAAACATGAATGTGTGCCAGGTCTTTATGACTTAAAATATATTAATTGCAAGCTTTGGTGGTGGCAAAAGACCTAAAGGTGTTCCAAAACAAATTTTATCTCAAAATTTCCTGAAAACAAGCCTTTTTTTGGAAAAATACTTGATAAAATAGAAAGACAAGAGTTTGAAAGAGCATTAGAAGTTGAGGAAATTTGGCAGTTTACCATATCGAATGTGAAAAACATATAATGAAAATGCTAATAAGTGTGAACAATTAAACGAATCAAGGTGCATAGGTTGAAAATCCTGCAGGATTTTTGGATAATTTATCATATATTTCTATTAAAGTTTATATTCCAGTATCTCGACAATATTTTTCATATGAAAGATTGGCAGGTGATTTCTAGGGGCATGTCCATATTCTATTTTAATTTGATTTAGTAGATAATGAATTTTTGCTTTCAAGAATTTTTAATTGATAAATAACAAATAATTTATATGCTTGACATTTTGATTTAGCGGTGACATGAAATAGAGTTTTTCCGGTCCTATTTTAATAATAATAATGATAATGATAATGATAATAATAATAATAATAAAATTTACTGTTACGCAGTTATAATAATAATAATTTATACTGTTTCGAATTTCATTTTAATAAAAAAATTTATTGTTACACATTTGTATCTATTCTTTGTTAATTAAAAATTATGATATCATTTATTGAATAATAATAATGTGGTGGTAGGTGAAAATTTCACTGCTTCTATGATTAGTGATGATTATGAATTTGAGATATTCATAATATTACGAAAGACAAAATTTCTTTAATTATGGGTAGGCTTGCCATGGAGGATGATAAAATTAATGTAATGTGAACGAACAGTTTTTTATTATGCCTCATCAATATACGACCTTCCTGTTTCGCCGACATTAGGAGTTTTTTCGCCACCTGGGGGTCAGTTATTAAAGAGAGCATCTTTTCTCTAAAAAAAGATGTTTATAATGGTGTCACCTAAAGAACAAAAGTTCTTTGTAAATTCAATAATGGCAAAGCAATAAAAAGAGGTTCAATAATTTCAACTGTTGGAGAAGTTAGGAATCATAAAAACAATTTAGGTTCCTGCGTGAGTGAGTTGAGTGGATCAACATAAAGAGTAATAATGAAGACAAGAATGATGCTGCAGAGACAAGAGTTTCTAGGAAAAAACGTAGATTAGAATCAGTAATTAACGAGTTTGATGATAGTTCTAACATTGACAAAAATAAAAGATCAGGCATGGAGATGGAAAGATGGAAAGATGACTTTTTATGTAGTCGGGTGTTTTGAAAGTTTTATTTTAATCAAAAAATAATGACTTTTTACAATTTATAAAGGCAAAAGACAAAAAGATTAAAATTGAAATCGTCTTTTGATGGTAACTATTGCCGTGGTTTGGTTTTATCAATTCACGAATGACGATAAATATTGAAATCTCGTTATTGACACTAAATGATTTTCTTTTTGTGAATAATATAATTATCCCAAATAAAAATATCGCAAATAATTGAATCACCATTGCTATATAGTACATCTATATTTTAAATAAAATATCACAACAATAGGAATTAATAATAAAGATAATAATATGCTGTTTGACTCGCCCTTTTTTGGTTTGTCCTTTTTAATGTTTGCATAAGGGCACGTTGCGCTGTTATGAACAGGGCACCTTCATGGAATTCCATTTAATTGTTAGAATTTTGATTTTGATTGTGTGGAAACGGTTTGAGTTACCAAAAAGGATGGCTTTAAACATAACACTATCCATAATCTTTTTTGAGAATTGATTTAAATATTTCCTATACTAATACGTTTGTAAGTTGTGCGTAGTAACTACAATAAATAAGAAGCTTGCCATAAACTTTTTCCAGTTCGTATGATTATCCATCAACAATAACAGGCTTGTTTTTTTGAGAGCTACACTTCATGTTCCAAGGTCGTTTAGCAGTTTAGGATGTTATCTTTTTTATTATAAAAAAAATTATACTATGACTCTGTTCCCCAAAGGAAAGCGTCAGGTGAAGCTAGTTTCATAATTATTGAAATTATCCCACCACTACTCTATTTCCTGAAGGAAAGCACGGAAAAGACATAATCATGACCAAGTTCATTAATCTCCCATCATATTTACTTGAGAGGATGAGTGGGTGCATGTAATAAATCGATGAATGCCTTTACTATTTAAACATTCATTATTCTCCCTCGTTATGAAAACTTTTTAAAAATCTATTTGTTATCAAATGAAAGCTTATGCAAAATCTAACCTTTTAACTTTTTATCTAACAAATATTTTGAGAATTGTCACATAATTCTTGATCAAATGCTAAATTATTTGGAGATGTTTCTTTAGAATAGTCAAAAAATTTATCATTACCAATAGATTTAGCAGATAATACAGAATATAGAATATTATAGGCACCATATTCTGATGAATGTGATAAATTTTATTTAGAAATTGCTAAATAATATTAATAATGAATGATTTCCAAAGATTTGTATCGATAAAAACCAGGTGCACTGATACAGATATAATATTTGATAAAAAAAAAAAAGTCGTAATTTAATTTATGAGAGTTGTAAAATATACACTATATGAATTTGTGAATGATAATTCATTACTATACATTATTTGTTGAATAATAGTAGAAATTGAGTATAAGGCCACTATATTTTCCATAGTCTTCAATTTCCATTTTTTTGAAATTTTTTAACAACATTGTAGTCATTAAATAATACGATTCAGTGTATAAAATTCGTATGCATAGTGTGCACAGCGCACAACCCCCTTAAACTGTGCACAATGAGACAATTTTTAAACAACAACACTGAATACGATAATAATAATAATTAAAATTTCTAAATTAATATGCTGCAAACAATTCATCCATACAAATCTTGTGATATCGCAGTTTATATGAAAATACTACAATCACACAAATTTAAAAGAATTTATTATATTATGAAGATCATAACAAATATTTATTATTATTATTTGCCGAAGCAAAATAAATTTTCCGAAAAATTTAAAATTTATTATTATTTTTGCCGTGAGAAAATTTCGTCATCCGTCATGTGTTGTGTCCTAAAAGCCAATTATATAATATTTATTACAATATTATTCATTGTGTGATAATTGATAATTTATACAATAATAGCTCGATTATTTAAATATTTATAAATAGAGTTAACTAATTATTTCCCACGAAAGTTCACTTTTAAAAAAATAAATTTATTACAAAAAGAAAATATCATAATAGTTGAAAAAAAAACGAATAATCAATTAATATTTAAAAATGTCATTCCTCAATGGTAATAATAATGGAGTCGATCGTGCAAGCTACGAAGGATTTGATCATATTAAATTCTGGGTAGGGAATGCTAAACAAGCAGCATCATACTATTGTACAAGGCTTGGATTCAAACATATTGGATACCAAGGTTTAGAAACTGGTAATAGAAAATTCGTAAGTCATGTGGTTCGTCAAGGCACTATAACCTTTGTGTTTCAATCACCATTAAATCCCAATGATCCCACAATGAGTGAACATTTAACAAAGCATGGCGATGGTGTCAAGGATGTTTCATTTACCGTCAGTGATTGTAGAAGTTTATGGGAAGAAGCCATTAGACATGGGGGAAAATCAGTTCGTGAACCTTGGGAGGAAAGAGATGAAAATGGAGTTGTGATTATGGCAACAATTTCTACTTATGGTGATACTGTTCACACTTTGGTTGAACGTAGAAATTATCATGGCGAATTTTTACCTAATTATGTTTCTAGTAAATCTCATGATCCATTAAATGATAAATTATCGCCTTGTAAACTATTATATTTGGATCACGTGGTTGGAAACCAGCCTGACGACGAGATGGTTAGAGCATGTGAAGTGTAATTATTATTACTATTGTTGTTGTAATGATACGTTGTATGGATGATACCATTTATATATATATATTAATATTTATCTATTTCTTTAGATATGAAAGAATTTTTAATTTCCATAGGTTTTGGTCGGTGGACGATAAACAAATCCACACCGAATATTCAGCACTTCGTTCAATTGTAATGGCAGATCAGAATGAAAAAATCAAAATGCCAATAAACGAACCAGCACTTGGAAGAAGGAAATCACAAATACAAGAATTTGTTGATTATTATGGTACGTATATAGTCGACCCCTCTATAGTCACCCCTTTATAGTCACTCCCACTTTATAAGCACATTATCCTTGGAACCACTTATAAGAAAACCTCCCTTATAATTACACATCACATACCTTTTTTATAATCACATTTGTTTTTTCAGTCACGAAGGGTGTGAATATAGAGGGTGTCGGTCGACTGTATTATATATTTACTTATTTGTGTGTACATTTTATAATCCATTTAATTTTATTTATATAATTAATTCTATATTTTTAGGCGGAGCAGGAGTTCAACATATTGCATTAAGAACTGATGAGTAAGTATAAATAATTATTTGTAGTTTTATATTCTATTGTTATGTTTAGCTCGTAATAATAATATTATAATTTCTGTAGTATAATCACTGCGGTTAGCAATCTTCAAGCTCGTGGATTAGATTTTTTGACAATTCCAAACACATATTACGAAGATCTAAAAGATCGATTGAGGCACGCTAGTATCAAAGTTATCGAAGATATCAACATATTACAAAAATTACATATTTTGGTTGATTACGATGAAAATGGTTATTTATTACAGGTAAATTTCTCAAATTTCCAAATTTTTTGATTTTCTTGTAATTATTAAATCCAACGCTTTATATATAAATTCAGATATTTACAAAACCGATGCAAGACCGACCGACACTTTTTATCGAAATAATTCAACGTAATAATCATCAAGGCTTTGGAGCTGGTAATTTCAAGGTAATTATATATATATTTCCCATTAAGTGGGGAATAACTTGACAAATCTATGTTGAGAAACTTTATTAATTATTAAATTATTTGTTTTTTTTTTTTTTTTTTTTGAAATGATAAAAGGCATTATTTGAAGCAATAGAACGTGATCAGGCTGAACGCGGTAATTTATAAATAGTGAATTACAATAGATTTTTTTTTTTTTTAAATTTTGTAATTTATATTTTAATATATTAACTCTCGTGCAAATAAAATTTGAGCAAAAAGTTGTTATTTATGTAATCATTATTTTTCACTTTTCCCTATATTTGCGTCACGACAAATTTTTAATGGAAAGCAAAAAAGCTGAATTTTGATTTCTGCCCATTTTGACATAATTACATGAATTATTATTATTATAGGCCCAGAAATCCATTCGAGTTTAGAAACTTTACCCATACTTGCACAATGATATTTTAAGAAGCTGCTTCATATGTTAAATTTTAAAAAATCCGGTAGCAGTAAATTTTATTGAGAATTGACATTAATGCGATTCGCTAATTCACTTTTGAATCATATCTTCAATTTGCTGCAGTGAAACCAACTTTGAATTTTGAATTTAGATCCATTGACGACAAAAAAGACTTAAATTTCGAATTGTTTGTGATATTTTACGTGTTAACAACGATAGAAAAAGTGAAAATATAGATTTGACATATCATCAAAGTGTAATTTTGCGAATATCTGGTGGTGGTAAATATTTATATTTAATTATAATCATCATTTTCCCAGACTTTCCAAGCGTGCTCTTTCTCTTTAAATTTTTTATAACGTGGAAAGTTCAAATTTTGGTATTTCAAAATTAAACCATTACAATATTTTTAGGATTTTCATATCTTTGGAGCAAAATAGTTATTTGTCTCTACCGAATCCTTTCAATTGTATTTATTTATAGACTTGATTTAAGTGGATACAATCTCACGTATTGGAATATGTGGCAATTAATATATAGTTATGATTAATGGTATGGCCAATCTTTAATTATAGTTGAGGATCTTTTATCTAAGCTTCGGGTTGTAAGATAAAGGCTGTAAATTGGAGGTTCTAGGAAAACCGGATGTGTGCCATAGGTAATAATAGTAAGCTATTCTGAGATCAAAATCTCCGTCTCACAGCAAATCTCAATATTTTATTTATTTATTTAATTTCTTCCAATTTATTTATAACAACAATTTCCGCGAATGTATATTTATGCCTTACTCTCCAAACTGTCCTTTTCACTATCATTAAACAATTCCTTGCTAAG